GCTCCTGCTGACTCCAACTGACAGCTTTCCATTTTCTCAAATAAAAGCAAGAAAACAGACTTTAAAAACACTAGCTATGCTCCTTCTCTCTCTATCATTTAGCAGGTATTATGTCACTTAAATTTCCAGTAGAAACACATGGATGCAGGTCATACAACAGGGACAATAGGAAAAAGAGATTAAGTCTTATGGAAACAGAGTAAGGGGGAAAAAACTTACTTTAACACAATACTCATGGCTACAAGTATTACCATTCTACTCAAAATATTCGAAGAGTTACGGGTATACGCTCATGTAACACTTGTGCTTACATTATTACAGAAGGATCCCAAAACTGTGGAAACGTGAAGAAGCTAACAGGAAGCACCTAAAAATATTCCACAGCCTGAAGTCAAATACACATATGAGGACCTACCTCAGAGGTTTAGGGATGCATTTCAATCAGTCTCCTAATCTTATACTGACCTCTGAAGGCACATCAAAAGGCTCGACTTCCACTTCAGTTGAGTTTGTCTTATCTGAAGGAGAAGCTGACTTTCCATCCTCTCCTGCTTTGTCAGTTTTGTCTTTTCCTTTGGCTGCTTTGGAGTCTTTATCTTTAGATGGCAATTTGATATCTTTGATCATCTTTGAAAACTTTGACTCCCGGGCTCCTCCTGAAAGTATCTCCACAGCAATCTCAATAAGGAGACGTCCTCTGAAGGAGACCCCTTCTCCAAAGCCTTCATTAAGCTCCTGGTGGTCATCCATGAGGCTGTGATTCCTGGGTGAACCATAGAGATTGATCCAGGCAGGCCCAAAAGTAGGCAAGAAACCTGGAGAAAAAGTGTATTTTCAGCCTTCCTCTTAGACTTTAGCAGGTTCCCTGTCACCATCTACCCAAAGCAAAGCTACCTCCAGGACACTGAAAGCCAAACCTAGACCCACTTCTATATAGGCAGGGACCATTTCATACAAAGCAGTATTTTACAGGGGATACTTAGGAGAGAGATGGGGTGAACCAGGAACTCCACCAACATGAAGCTCTTTCTTACGAGAAGAGTGCTAGTACAACATGTGCTGGAGACATGAGGCCAATGGCAGTTGTGGGGAAGAATATCTTGCTGCCGCAGACTGTTGACTTGGTCATGGTGGGAGAGAAATGCAATCTTTCTCCCCTTGTACAAATTGTTCCCAAGTCCATGCTGCTACTCACCTTAAGTGATGTATTTTTTATTTATTAGGGGCCTTTATAGATATTTGAGTTGCCAAGTTTAAGGAGTTACCATGCCTTTTCTGAGCTACGATAAATGACCATGTTCCACACTGAGATAACATAACATAAATAGAATTATACACATAGATCAAACATCCGTGGAAAGATTTCGGGTAATGAACTTTACCCTGCATATGTAAGGAGCTAAAGCACTAGCCAATGGCAATTCCTTGAGCTGTGATAACACTCAACCAAGCCCTAGCTAAATGCTTTGTTCTTACAAGTTAGATCAGAAACACAAAGCTGCTTGGCCCCAATTTGCACTTTGTACTTTCACTGCCAGACAGAAACTGGCACAAGCTGTGAGCTTATATCAGTCACCGCTAACTTATTAAAGCAAAATATTGCCACAATAAGGGACCAAAGTATGTAGTGGTCCTATAAGTAAGAAAGGCAGTGACCACCACACAGCAATTAGCACAATGCAATATAACTTCAGTTTAGGCTCCCAGAATGAACTAAAGGGCTAGATGTACACCTGAGCTCTGTGCATCCCTTAGGTGGGATTAGTGAGTGTCCAGATCTCAAGCAAGTGGATTCTACCCTAAGAGCTTATTTTGGAACAGATATTTCCCCCTTCACCTTTGTCACCATCTTGCTCATTTGATATTTTCTTCAGGTCAATGAAGTGGGTGGCTAAGGCCACATCATTCATGCTGCCTTCATCCCAGACCTGGATTTTGACTCTTCGGCATAGTGGAGGGAACATTTCCTTGAAGACAATCTGTTCATGCCATACAGGATCCGCACAGTTTTTCTGCACTGTTGTCCGACCCTGAAATAAAAGTTCAGCAACTTTAGCCCCAGCATTTAGCTCACACTCTGTAGAACAGGGATGAGTGTAGGTCAGATTGCACTTGACAGCATTTCTGCAGATAACCTTTAAGCAAAAAGTCCTGTCTAGTATAACTGAAACCTGAAAGTACCTCTGCTTTTCTAATAGCTAGTCTTAGTGTAGGACATAACATTGTGCTAAAGTAACTAATGCAGGTGATGTTCTTTTTTTATTTCCCTCTGTATCTGATATAAGACCACATTATGGCTTATGAATCCACACTTGCACACAGCAGGGCTGGGAGTAAAGTCTAATTCGTCAGGGTTTTTAGTGCATAAAACATCTTTGCGCAGTCAGACCTTGGCATTTGTGTTATGAACTGCACATCTTTAAGTGGCCATTGAATGCCTGGAGTAATTCAGCACAATTGTCCTGTAGAAGATGGAATGTATTACATTTGCCAGGCCGGATGCACCACTGGAATTACCTCAATAGAGTCAGTTTATCTCATATAGCATGCAGTTACTGCGGCTCATATTCTGAGCAAATGCCTGCACAGTAGGGATTTAGAGGCTAGGCCTGAAGATGGCAGGCCCATATGAAGGATGTCAGTGTAGCTGCAGACTGTAGCAAGTCTTCTACATCTGTATTCAGTGAGAAACTGAGTTGGGATTCCCACTAGCATCTCTAAGCCCCCATGTTACATGCCAGCAGGCCAACTCACATCAGTGACCCATTCTTACATGTTCTTCAAGTTTCTTTTAAACCTGAAGTTGCTGTCTGCATTTAGCATAACCTCCACTAGTTCCAGATGTGATACTTCACAATTTGGCTTCACAGTAAACCACAGAGTTGTCACCATAGGCCTCATTCACATAACCAAAGCTTCTGAAAGGACAAACTGTATTTCTCCCATAGTCTCCTTGCATGCAGAAAGTATTGCTGACTTTAAAAGTTTGATTCTTTTCTTATTTAGACCAGTAATCAAGGGAAGTTCCATCTCACTATGTCTCACTTGTCACTAAGACGAGAACTAGATCCTGATGATTCAGCTGCAAGCCAGCTAGTCAGAAGAGCCCTCTCAGCAGGTCTTCATAGCATTGCATTAGGTCTTGCAGCAGCTACAGGATCAAAAACACCGAACAACACTGAGGAAGTGTCTACTCAAATATTTCCTCTGCTGCTTCCTCCAGAAAATCTGCACTGGTCCTGAATTATGATATAATTCTCAGGTAAATACAAAGCTCTAACATCCAGGCTGAACCATGTTTCCTCAGCTTGGTACTGTTTCTCTTTTCACCTCAAGAAGACCAAAACAGCACCAATACTGTGTCACAGTTTGTAAATCACTCTCTTTTAACCTGATGTTTTAGTAACAAATTTACAGAATTATCTTTCCTACTGCCACCTGACTCTAACTCAATGCTATGCTGCTGATATTGGTCCTTTGGCTTGCATTAGATATTTCCTTCATTTTGTTCCTGCATAAGTTAGGAAGTGACTATTTGCTGATGATGAAAGAATATACATAAAAACAAGTGAAAGTATATCTGCCATTGCCTGCAGCTAATATGAAGGAATGCCTATGTTTGTGATCAAGAAGATCCCAATTACCATTTGACCTGCAAACATGACCACCACATAGGGGTCCACAAGGTCCTTACTGTCGCCTATGAATGCTTTGGTGACATTGGCCATGATGCTAGAATTCATCTTCGGAAGCCCTTCTGCTTTGTAAATTCGCACATAAAATCTGGCCCATGGTCTTTCAGATGGAAATCCTTTGGGGATCAAGAGGTTCCTAAAAGGAGAAAGAAGCCATTTCCTTAAACTCAGACAACAAATAATTTTTCCCCACAAAATTGTAATTTCAGGTTAGCAAGGCAGGGACTGAAAGGAGAACAGAGGACTTTTGAGGTACTCAATTAAAAAAAAAGGATGAAGGAAGAAATAAACTACTGCAGTACTTTTCAATCTGTTCCTCAGTATCAGTTGTTTTCTGAGTGGCTTGTATTGTGTCTCCTTTCCCAATCACACAAATGTCACACTTCAGGTATCCCTTGGTTCCTGTCCTAATGTCAGCAGGGTCCGTGAGAACAGCCCACTTGTCACAAAACTGATGGCCTGTAAAAATACAAAAACTGTGATGATACAAACGATGCAAACTCTTCTTGCCTTCCTCCCCAGGAAAGGCACTTCTGTAGCCAGAAAGTTTGAGCATTCAGGAGGATCATGCTGAATTACCCTTGTTTATCAAACACATTTGCAAGTTCCAAAATATTGTGTGCCCAGAAAGACAAGTGAGAGGATTGATCTAAATCTCTGCAGGAATAAACTTAGTTTCATCAAGGGTTGATAAGGTCAAGGACTGGACACCAGTGGAGATTGGGGTGAGATTTCAGCAACTGATTTAAGGCCAGGCCTCTAGGAGGAAAGACTTTTTTTTTTCTTAATGAGGACTATTTGAAGATCTTAATATTCTTCTGTAGCAAAACCTTAACTAGGAACTGCGGAAGAGCAAACAGCCTTCAGGAGAAGGAGCCAAAAGCAGCTTCTCTTGAGCTACCCTTCTCAAGGAAGGTCCTAAAACCTTTCCTGTTAATGGATATGGACAGGATGGGATTCACTGGGCCAGCTGCACTCAGGAATATTAGAAGGAGGAGCAATGCAGCAGAGTGTTTTCACTGTGCAGAACAGTTGCAGAGCGTGAGGGCAGCCACTACGCAGCTGGAACAAAAGGTCAGGTAAGGAAATGTATCCCCCAGCCTCACCCTGGCTCTCCTCTCCTTTTCCTCATTCACACTTACTGCTCTGTTTTCTCATGGCCCCATGGTTCCCAATCCACTTGCATTCAGACATTCACACTAACTCCTTGGCCGTCCATTCATGTGTGTAAAGGAGAGGGAAGGAGAGACTGGAGCGAACTAGGCTGCTCTGGGATCTCAGTGATATGATCGAAGGAACTTTCCTCAGTTCCAGCCCTCCCGTAAAGCCATGCGCAAAGAAATATAGGGCAGCATTAGGAGACCAAAGCAGTAGCCTCCTCACTACAGTCACACTGTTTCTCTCTATTTACTATTTCCAGAGCACCAAGAAGAGAGTGGTCTGAATGACGCATTGCTCTTGACTTTAGATGCCATGACTGGTTGACATCTATAATGTCCTAAATACATCCATTCCTGTAGAATGAGAAAAAAACCTTCAGTAATTAGGGAAGAGAGAAAATCAGGTATTTTATGGATAGCTGTGAAAACAGGCAGGGGCCCAAAAGGGCTGTGTGAGGTTTAAAATTTCAGAAAGTGCTGGGCAGCTTTGAGGATGGCAGGTCAAATGGAACCGTGCTCATCTCTGCTGTGTCCTTTTTTTCTCTCCTCATCTCCGGGTTCCTTCCACACTCCCTCTCTCTCCTACCCCAACACGGTTAGCAGACTTTCAGCCACTGCATCATGACCAAAAAGGGTCTGGCTTTCTAAGCCACTCTGACACCCTAAACAAAAGCCAGTTTTGCAAAAGTGGCCTCAGACCCACATCCAGCCAATGGGCAGATTTTCAAGGTATTTTCACTGCTGCTCAAATTTCAGAAATTTGGCTGCTACTCTGCCAGCTAAATACAAAAGCAACTCTTCTGAAAACCTTGCTTAGCTTACCATGGGACACAAATCCTAATTATCTAATAGGTAAATCAGTGCAATTCCCTTTCCCCTACCTCTCCCCTCCATCCCTGCACCCTTATTTAGCAGAAAAGAAAGCAAAAAGGAAATGCATACCTGGCTGGCTGTATACTGTCCCCAGATCTACTTTAAAGGAGCCTATCAACACACTTCCGATCAGTTTGTTATGCATAACCTGTCAGAAAAGGGCACATTAATGACTGTCATTCTCTTTCCAGTCAGCATGAGAAAGAACAATACAAATTGTGATCACATTTATTTCAAAGAGAATAAGCAGCTGTGTCCAACTGCAGCCAAAGACAAATGTGCAAATCCAGGAAAGTAGCAAGTATTTGAAATATGATCTTCACCCAATTCTTGTGCCAATTTAGAAATCACTAGAGCTGGAATCTTGGTCCCAGGATCAAACAGACTGGGTACAAGATGGACATGTCTTCAGAGCAGATGCAGTTACATTATTCATACTGATGCTTTTAAATAAATCATAAAGTACCTAAACACACGGGGTATAATTGGTTCCCCACAGGCCGCATGAATTATATCATTTTCTACACTGTAGCTACATTTCCATATAAACTGAGTACACCCACAGGAGAGAGAATTAAAGTGTTTCTTTCAAATGTTTCAGTGTGCACATAAACCAAGAGACTCAGTTTTGATTTGCCATCACACAAATGTAACGATGTAGATGTAAATGAGTACAAATAAGATGGCAAGCAGGCGCTATAGAATCTGTCTTATTATCCTTCTTGTAAGCAAAGGAATTTGAATTAATTTAATTAATAATTTTATGAAATTATTCCTGTATCTATATACTTTTGTGTCTGGCTTTCAAATACATGCTTTCAGATTGCTGTGAATAAATGTGTGTTCATTCTAGTTAAATCCAGTTCATAGATTTAACAGAAGCCAGCAACATATCCTAAGAGAAGATTTGCTCTAGAACCATATTTTTAAAAATAATAGACATCTCACCTGGTATGAGAATGATTTAAAGGTTGAAACCCAGTTCTCCTCTGGGATTGAAAAAATCAAGAGCAGACAAAGGAATATTTTGTTTCTGACACTACTATTGAAAATAAAACTTAAGTGATGTTTGTCTGGAAGAGGAAGTAGCGTGACAGTGAAGACCCCATGTGCTACCACTGCTCTTCTAAAGCCCTTATCCTGCCAGGACCCATCAGGGCACCAACCTCCTTCTGACCAGGCTGGACTGGAGCCCCTGGGAGAGGGAACCACAAAGACTCCTGAGTCCCATCCTGAAGCCAAAAAAAATTCCATCTTTGGAGAAGCTACACAGAAATAGGAGCTCACCCAAATCAACCTTTTCCAACAGAAAAGAATCGTAGCCTCAAAGAGGTGCTTTTGTTAGTGCTCTGCATCTTTCCAGGCACCTCTTTTCAAGCCAACTTTTCATACAGTGACAAAGCAGGTAAGCATGGAGCTTATTGCAAACTCTTTTGTCTTCCTTGACAGGGAGCAGCAGATTTACATCATGCTTAAAATTAAAGGTTTACATCATTGCAGACTTGATTAAATTTTAAAAATGACTAAATGATTTTCTTTGTGTTTTCAAAATGAGGACAAGAATGAACAGTGAGGACAAGAATGATAGAGGTTTGGGACGGAAGAGGCATCAGAGTTGTACTACTACATTGCTACAGGACTGCTGGAATGCACTGGAAGATATTAATTATGAAAAGAATCTGTTCATTAGCAGTGGTTGAGGAGCAGAAAAACTTATTTTCCCCTCCAAATGAAGAGTCTGAGTGCAGCTAGATTAACTGCTGAACTGATAAACAATAGTTTGATGCTTTTTTCATTCTCTTTGAGCTTCCAGGTACAGATTTTTTCAGATACAAATTCCAGATACGGGGTTTGTTTTCATGGATTAAGTGAATTCAGTGCCTGAATGACTGCTAGTAATAGAAGCTGTCAGTCCTTGCTTCTTCTTAAGTGAAACTGAGGCTAAGCAAGTGCTAGGAAACTTTCCATCCCCAAGAGTTCCCTTCCTTACCAGCACACATTTACTCACTCATTTGTTTCTATTCCCTTATTGTTTTCTACAAAACTCTGTTCCAAGGTACAGAACTTGCTGTTTTCAGTAGGCTATATGAGCATTGCACTGGGTTACCATTTCCTTTAAAAATGTAGTTTTCACCTAGGATCCCCAAACCTGATGAAACTATGCTGATTTATACCAGATAAATCTGGCATACTCCAACCTATAGCACACTTGGAAAACTGGTGTTTTCACTCGATATATATAAGCATTAGCAACAGAATCTGAGATCCAACAGACTGGCCAGATCTTGGAGAAATGTCTCTACAGCCCAAAGCAGCGACACTTCACAAAGATTTAATGCCTTTTGCCTTAGAGCATTCCTGATCCTAAACATGCCAGAAGCTCGGGGTCGTATGTTGTGATATAAGCCATGACTGTGAGACGGCACCCCTTCCCATGCAAAAAGGGGAACCCAATTTAAGCAACAATGTCAGAATTTTGTCGTCAAGAAGAAGCAAAGATCTGCAGATACCCTATGTAGGTATGAATTTTATTTCTGTGCATTTGAGCTGTGCATGTGGCACGGCGGCTCTGAGTTAAGACTTTCACATATAAGCTGTTAATTTACTAACAGAACTAAACCTAGTTGTCCAACCTGGCATGTGTAAATGAAGGTGTTTGATCTGTGTAGCAATGAAGTCATTTAATGAAATGCTCCACAGAGCAGGTACACAGTAGCCGTCTCTGAGGAAGATTCACACAGATGCCTTCCTATAGCTCCTATGCGTTGCCTGGCTCTACCAGGTTGGCACAAACCCTTTCCTGAATCTTCTCAGCAGTTTTTAGGGGCTTTTCTAGGCAATAGGTTGACAAAAGCTGTGCGTGTATCTTCCATCAGGACTCCTCCCCTGGGTCTGGACTTGCTGCGAGCACTGGGAACAGCACTGAGTGCTCGGAGCCCCCTTCCTAATTAACACTAAAATCCCCGGAGAGCACCAGAGCCACTGCTGGGGATAAGGGACTTGAAGATTTCTAGTCAGAATCCACATTGTGTCTGAGGAACAAAGGAAAACCAGAAGTTTCAGCTCAGCAATCCAAAATACGTGGCAGCTTGAAAACAAAGGTGCTGTTAAACAAGGTGAAGTTTTTCCCTCTGCTTTGTGGGTTGCCAAGCCTGCAGCAAAACAGCACTCCCAAAAATGCACTGAAGCCGCCCAAGGGTTACATCCCTTCGAACTGTTGCCAGCTGCCTTTCCTCCTTTTAATCTTCCCCTATCCTTTCCCGTTCTTCAATACTCTTCATGTCGACTTTCTAGCATTCTTTGCACCTTAAACTATTTGTCTTTTTAATTAGAAGGAGAATCATTTAGAGCCAATGTTACACAAACGATTGATCTTCACTTACAGTATTGAGCTTTCCTGGATACTTACCGAGATGTTGATAATTTTGTCGAAGAGGAAGACTTGCGGCCCAACGAAGTCAAACACGAAATACTGTGAGAAAACAGGACAGAGGATCAGAATCACCCTGCTGCTGGTAGCCAACACTGCCAGCAACCCAGGCATTACTGGGACAACGGTGGGCACAGCAAACACTTTTCCCTGCTCCCGGCTTGTCCTCATCATGATCAGGAACTGTTGGCCACCATTCGGCCTCTCTCCTCTTCCTGCATGGTTCCTCAGTCTGCACCTGGCTGCATGGTGCTGCCATTGGCAAGTGCCCCTGGAGCTCATTCGGCATCAGGAGGTAGAGTCAAAAGGGACAGGAGGTACTCAAAAGACCAGAGGAATGTTTTGTTTTAGGAAATGTTTTGGTCTCATTTATCACCAGATGGGATAAGGAAGCTTCAAGAAGACGTTCGAGTAGGGAATCCGTAGAAGGAGAAGGTTACTGATCAGTTTAGAAAGATCTCCCAAATGAATCACATAGAAAAATGCTGTGAGGCAGCAGTAGCAAAGATGTGATGTGGAATCAGGATAGACAGAGCTTGAGAAGACAAAGCGTAAAGAGAACTAAAACCAAGGAAACTTTTGCCTGCACTTTACCAAGCTTAAAACTTAGGCAGCTTCTGGATGTACCTCACTGCTCAGATATGTAGGTGCTGCCTGGCTGGTCCATCTCTGTTCAAACTACGAGGAGATGATTACCACCCAAACCATCAAAGAAAACACTTTTTCCAAAACAAAACACCTACCTCATTGTAAAAAGGGGCATTTGTGCCTTCCTTTACTGTTGTTTGCTTTTTCTCATCACCAATTTCTATGATCACCACAGGGTCGATGTTCTCACCTATGAGCTGCCTGGCCTCAGTGATGGTGATGGCAATCTGTGGGGCACAAGGACACCGTGTGCACTCCTGGGAGTTCCAGCACACCCAGGAGTTGTACAGGTGCATCAAGACCCTCACCCCACACTCACCTGGTAGTTCTGGGTTTTCATCTCCTCTCCATGAATTCTGGGCACCAACTTTGCCCTGTTTAAATCACAAATTGGATTATTTGGCTTCTCTAGAAAGAAGCAGTGTTTTGACATGCACTGAAAAGACTTTGTGTCACTAAGCCTGCATTGTCTGTGGCAGGTAGTTTTGTTATGGACTGTTAGACTTGATTTTACCAGCAATCACTCTAATGCCATCACTGGGACATGTAGTCCAAGGACTCAGACTCATGGTCGGAAGACAGTTGCACCGCAAGTCGAGTCACAGGAGCTGCCTGTGGATGTGACCAATGCAAGAGGAAAGCAATGCAAAATAACTTACTCCTCTTTAAACTGAAGCAGGCTACACTGTGTTTGCTTGTCCTTCTCAGGAGCTCAGAACATGTGCAAGGACACTTACTGCAACTTAGCTCTGAATCCAGAAATTTGGTAAGCACAATAGTTTGCACCCAAGCAATTCTACTTGTCACTGAGGGCAGCACCCAGTGTGTCTTTAAGCTTTTCTTATTGCTTATTATGAACATAAAAAGAGGATGGGAGGTTCTTATCCATTTCACATAGATACTTAACATGGAAGAATTTGGTATCACTCCTTGAATACTGAAGGATTTCATACCAGGATTTGCATGACACATCACTCCAGATCTCTATCCAGCTCTCACATATTTGGTAATGGGGAAATGCTTTGAATCCACATAGCCCAGTGCTGTGTCCTACATGGGAATGATTTCACCTACTTATCCCATTAAATCTGACTCTGTTCCTCCCCTCATATGAACAGTTACACAGACACATTGTCTCCTGTCCCCTTCGGTTCATTTTCATTAGCAGCACAGTTCAGGCTCTCTCAGCATCCATTTCAATCTCTCTGCAGTGGATAGCATCTGGTGACAATCTGTCTTGAGCTGATAATATTTTGCTGACAAGTACATCCCACTCTGTCATGTGGAAGTACAGGGGTGGAGAGATCAGCACTGTCAGCAAACAGATTTTCTGTCAGAAGATGTATTGCTCTGTGGCAATACCATTCCAGAGAAAGACAGAAAATGTGTTTGGGAGGGTATCAAAGAAGATATGTCAAGCAGCACCTTTTCCTTTTTGGGCTTAAAGGAGGAAAAACGCTGGATGATGCGTCGTTGATCGTCAGGTCTTCCTCTCCTTCTTCTTGTCTTCCGGGAGTTTCATGGTGAAGATTTTCACTTGCATCATGATCACCTGGTGAATAAAACAATCAAGAGAAAAAAAAAACCCTCTGTTTGCTGCTTGCAAAAAAGCTAGCCTGTAGCACAGCAGTGAATTCAGCAGCATGAGCTGAATATATTATTTATTTGGATGTCACAATTAGAGATACAGAAGTGGTTTGTGCTGTGCGGCACTGAAAACAGCAGCAGTCCCCTTCTGTGCAGACGTATGCTCCGTATAAACCGTGCCTGCATTCCCTCTCTCCATCCCATTTGAACCCACACCAAAAACTTGCACAACAGAGGCACCCGACTATCTCCTCTCTCATCTGGTAGAAAGGTGGTGGGGCAGATTATTGCTGTTTTTAGCACATATTACTTTAGAGCAATTAGCCTATCATTTCTGGTTATTGGATCCTGCAGTCCCTTCCAAATGACTGAAGAGGAGCTTAGGTGGAAATTATTTCTCATCTTTCCCTTTTGTAGAGATGAAGGACTGGAAAACCAAGCACAGAAAGAGAGAACTGTGAGCATGATTCCTACGATCGCTTGTACACAGCTATAGCCAGATCAGATGAATTGCTTCCAGAAATGCCTTTTTATGTTTTTCTTGACTGTAAAGAGGACATGAGCAACTAGCTCAGATGTAGACATCCACATTATTTGGCCAGGAGAGCACTCTCCATGCTGCTCTGTTTTATGCTCTTGGTCCAGTAGAAATTCTGCCAGTGTCTCTGTCCCTTGCCCAGTGTGTCTAGGTTCAATGCCTGTTTTAGGAAGAGAGCTGTATGTTATGGGTAAAAGTTTAAAATTCATTTGTAACTCATTTGGATATTGATATCTATAAACAGGAAAATTTTAGTGACTCTGGACATGGTCTAGAAAGTATCAAATGGTATCCACCACAAAAATACCCAGTGGGCTTAGGTGACCCTTGGAGACATCCCTGCATTAAATGAGTGAAGGCACAACCAAGTACATTTTCTGCTAGTACCCTGTAACATTGTACTCCAACCACAAACCTAGGGAAAGGGTTATAATGGTGCTTACCTATCTCTTTGCAGAGATAGAGATTTAATGGACACTTAGAAACTGTGGTGATGATAGCAAAGAACATGGTACAGGAAAACTCGCTTGGATTTCTTCATTATAGTTCTCATCAAGCCTGGATGCATCTCTGTCTTTTTTGGCCTGCCTTCTGTAAGACCCTGCGTGGAGGCATATACTGCAGGAAGGTACAGACAAATATCCTGTGCTGAAAGGTAGCCAGGCATGAACCAGCTCCAGACAACGTGTCCTGCTGCCCCATTATGTGCAGCTGTGTGGAAGCTGATATAGACAGCATCTCAAAGAAGCTCATTGCACTACCAATCTCATATACCTTCTTGCATGTCCTCCGACAGCCCCTCTGGCTCGTGTCCAGACTTCAAGGACTTTGGGAGAATGAACTTGTCTCCTTATCCACGTAGGCATAGCCTGCTTTTCACCCCTTGAGGGCATAGTGCCCGTCTACAGACTCTGCAGATTTGCCCTGCATTTGTAGCACCATGTTCCCATGACTACCTCCCACATCCTATTTATTCTAGAGCAGAGTGTTTGATTATAGTCTCGTAATAAGCTCTATTATTTGCTTTGTAGGCTAAAGTAGATAAAATTTCCAGCCCAGCTGGGACCAGGCATGTGTCAGCATGACGCGCTGCCAGGACCAATCTTTGTAAGTTCCATTTTGTCTTGATTAAGATGTAATGTCTTCTTAAAGTTTCTTTCCCTTTAAAGCTGCATTTTTCTAACATTTTAACACTGGAATATGTTTTTTCCTCAATAACCTTGTGCACGTTGTGCCTCACTAATCAGCAGGCAT